CCCATCCCAGCCAGCCCCTGCTGGTCCTCTCCACTGCAGCTGCCACCCTAGCCCAGGCCCTGCCAAGCTACTCTGGGCAGCAAAAACGTCCCTTTCTCAGGTAGGCCTGGCCAGCAAAAAGAACATGTTTCTCTTCCTTCCTGGCCTGGCATCCTACCACCTGAGAGCCTGCGATGGGCCCCTGGACTCTGGGCATCCCCTGCCCTCTCCCTGCCCCCTGATCAACTGCCGAAAGCATGTTTCAGAGTCTTGATTGCAAGAGGCCACATTCACTCTGTGCTGAGCACCGACAAAGAACCTTGCTGCGTTCTTAGTCCCTCACTAACCCCTAAGGTCCGCCATTGTGTCCCCAGTTCACCAACCACAAACACATGCTCAGAAAGGGCATGGTGCTGCCAGCAACCATTGGTGCAGGGAGTCCCAGCCCATTTGCATAGCCATCTCCATCTCCCTAGGCCCTGGGTCTCAGGGATTCTTTTAGCTTCTCTGTTAATCCCGGATGCTGGACTCCTTGTCTTAGTCTGAGCCTCCATTTTTTGCAGGAAGAAGGCCTGTAGCTTTGGGGAATATTACTAAGTGACTTAGGACCCCCCAAAGTGTTGGGGAGAGCTGGGGCGGGTGGATGGGCAGGACATCACAGTGGTTACAGGCACAGGTTGAAGGTGACCCCCTGTTGTCTGGCGCTAGCTCTGAGGCTCTGTCACCCCATGATGACATGGTCACTCATCATTACCGCTGGTGGAGTGGAGTGTTACTCCATGCAGCACTTTCTCAACTCTCCCCACTCATTCTCTCTTAGACTCTGTGCAACCTCCCGAGGCTGGCACTGTCATCAGTCCACGTTGCTGTCGAAACCCTGCGGCCTCTGCGAATACAGCTTAAAGCCCTAGGCTCTGTCGCAGGGACTGTTGAGTGTCACCTCTTAAGCCTCTTTCCACGGGCTCCTCCAAGGCACCCAGGCCTGGGAGGCCCCTACGTTTCCCATTCCCAGGGCATCATCCCTCATTGCCAACATAGCCAAAACAGGTGGACGGTGTCCACCCTCCCCTGCCTCTGCACCGCCATTTCCAGCCCAGGTTTTCCGGAGGCCACTGGGGGCCCGGAGTCAGGTGTCTGCTTCTCCCTGCTGCTTCAGGCTGTTATCTAAGAGGCTCTGGGCTGCTCCCAGAACTAAGAGAGAGAGCTTAGAGAGGAAGGTAGCCCTCAGCCAAAGTTCTTTGTCCACCAGCTCTGCTCCTTCCTGGCCACAGAGGTCCCAGTGCAAGCCTGAGAACTGTTTCCACCCCCTGCCTCCAACTATCCCCTCTATTCCTCCATGATGATGGAGAATGACCATGTCTTCAGAGGTGTGCGGGAGAACCCCCCGTGTCCCTGAAATCCGCTAATAACTCTTCATTTTACGGCTTCCTCCTACAGCTCCATCCCCTTCTCCTAGAGGTCTCTGGAACCCATATGCCCCAATACCTAGACACCACAGTCCACCCAGTTACTCCTCATCCAACCAAAAGCCCCCAATCCACCTAGATACACCTGGTCCACGGAGATACCCCCACCCAGCCAGGCACCCCCTTCCCATCCCCATCCACCCAGACAGCCCCAATCCAGACACCTGTGACCCTCTCCGACCCCTTCAATCTACCCAGACACCCTACCCCCACTCACAGGTCTCACCTCACCCCACCTGGCTTGTCCAGTCCCTGAAAGGCGAATGACCGGGGTGTGGGGAGGTCATGCTGCTATGGAAAGGGGCTTTTTCCAGTTTCCTACCCCCAGAAAAGTACCTTGAAGGGGAAAAATTCTAGAGCCTTTCACAGCAGTGCTTCTGTGGGGGAGAGGGGAGACAGGGAGGAAGAGGATGGAGAGTCTGGAGGCAGAGCCTGAGGGGGTGCTGAGGAAGGAGCCCCAGCTGCTCACCTGTGTGGTTCCCCAAGCAGAGCAGAGGTTCCGGGAGAAACCAGGGCTGCCAGGCCCGAGTCCTGCCTTTATCCAGAGCTGCCACGCCCTAAACAAACCTGGGCAGGTAAAGAACAAGTCAGACTCCTAAGACTCAGGGGCTCTGCCACCCCATTCCTGCTCTTAAAGAGACAGCTTCACCCCTCCCCAGCCACTGGAGGCAGGGAGCTCTCTGGGGTCACCCAGGCACGGCAGCCTCAGGTGAGGCGGAGGGAGAACCGGATGGTCTGGAACTCGGCCCCTGGAATTAGGGGAGGGGATTTCTCCATTCTCCTGTGCCCAGAGAAGGACCTTGAAGGGGGAAGGTTCTGGGGTCTTTAACAACAAAGCTTCTACCGGGTAGGGTGGAGGAAGGTGATGCATGGGTGTAACAGCCTACCTTCTTTTACTTAGATTGTATGTTTTGCTGGGGGGAAGAATGGCTAGAAATGATGGGGGACCCACAGTTCTCTTCCAGGACACATCTTGCTGTTGGGACGGTTTGAGGGTCGGCAGAAGATGCAGGTAGGACCAAAATCATGAGGTGGGGACATGAGGAAGGGGCTGGAACAGCAAATAGGGGTCAGGGTCAAGGCTGTGAGACCTTAGACCCAGCCATCACCCCCAGCATGCTCGAGGGAGAGTGAGAACCGGCTCCCAGCACCAGGCTGGCATTTCCGAGCCCGGGCTCTTCCCAAGGGTGCTGGAAGCCAGATGTCTGGATCAACGGAGTGGGCGCTGGGTGGGAGGCTGCTTGCTATCTAGATAAGCCCCCTGCACTGTGCAAGCTCCCTCTCCTTCCTTCCTTCGTCTGCTGCCCCTCCTCCCCCAGGCATTCCTTCCGGCTGGGGTCTGTGCAGGCCCCCCCCATGGTCGCCGTTGGGGGTGACCCCTCCCCTCAATTCCGCCTTCTTAGACAGAGGGACTTTTGTCTGGGGGCTGGACGGAGAACAAGGCGCCTTTGAGTGGCTGGCGGAGGATTGGGGTCATGGGGAGGGGGAGGGCCAGGAAAGGGGTGGCCCTGGCCTGGCCACCAGCTGGACTCCAGGCGACCCCCCAACACTGTCGTGGGGGCAGGGAGGAGGAGCCAGGCCAGGAGAGGCAGCCCTTGGGGGGGTGGAGCCCAGGACAGGGAAAGGGGGCTTGAGTCCGGGCTCTGCTGGGGACCAGTCTGCTGGGGGCGGGGAGCAGGACTCCCCACCTCTCAACAGGGAGGGTGGGGTGAGGAATGCTCACTAAGCTACATGCTTTCTTTAGCTGGTTCCCTGGGGTAATTTCTCAATCCCAGGCCCTAGACTAGGACAAGGTCTCCTCCCCACCCTGTGAAGGAGGGGCCAGTCTCCACCAGGGGTGGAGGGGACAGTCAGGGTGGGACTCAGAGCACGAGGAGAAGGAAGGGATAGAAACAGAGGAAAGGGAGGCCTGAAGGTGAGGGTGAGGGGTCGGCGCAGGGGTGGGGGGAGCTCAGTCTAGCTAAGGGAGGGGCACGTGGATGGTGCCTCCGACGTCTCTGGGAAGACCCCTTGGCGGTCTTGGGAGTAGAGGGGTGTCGCCCTCTACTGGGAATCCTAGGAACTGCAGTCATCCTAGAGCAAGTTGGGCTATGTGCAAAGTGGCTGGGGGTGGGAGTAGGGTAGGGGGATGCTCTGTCTTTCCTCTGTGTCAGAGTCTGTAAACTCAGATGCCAGAGGAGCCAGGCAAGAATCATGAATGAGTGAAACAGGACAGATGCGAGACCCTAAGGAAGGGTGGCAACAGGGGAGAACTAGTCTTGCCTAAAAAGACAGGAGCAAGACCTGGTGGATAGACACAGAAGTACCTCCCAGCCAAGGGGGGAAAAAAAAGTGTGGGTAGCTGTGGCATGTGCTGCCATTCGTGAGGGGCAGAGTGATATATGGGCATATACTTGTATATGAATAAAATGTCCCCGGAGATTGGCACCCACGGTTGCATCTGGGAGGGGAACTGGGAGGCTGGAGGAAGAGGTGGAAATGAGACTCATTCATCATGTGCTCTCTTATGCCCTTTTGAATTTTATATCCTGAAAATATGCCACTTAAAAAAAGCAAAAGTTCCAGCTGGGCTCGGTGGCTCAGCCTGTCATCCCGCGCCTTTGGGAGGCTGAGGTGAGTGGATGGCCTGAACCCGCAGGTTCGAGACCCGCCTGGGCCACTGGGTGAGACCTCATCTCTACAATAAATCAAAAAAATTAGCCGGGCGTGGTAGCGCGTGCCTGTAGTTCCAGCTACTTGGAAGGCTGAGGCGAAAGGATCGCCGGAGTTCAGTAGGTCGAGGCT